GGACCTGAAGATATAGTGATTTTTTTAATTCTGCTATATTTTGGACACTATTGATGCCAGGGACCTCCAGTTTTGTATATATACTCGGGCTGATCACCCAAGACCAAAAAGTATTGTCGGATACATGTCCGCCCACAGGGGGCGTGGCAAACCGCAAAAGTTTATATCTCCTAAAGTAAAATAGCTAGAAGCTTCAAATTTAAATATTTAAGTTACCAGTAACCTCCTCTTAGATGACCCAAAAATTATTTTTACGCCTCTTTAGGGGCGTGGCATAACGAAAAATACCCTGTAATTTTCACATTTTGTGAGGGTAAGCATTCAAACTTTTCAGTTAGGGTACCCTTATCACGTTCTAAGAACTGACTAAAAATGGGGTGTCTACGCCCAGTAGGGGCGTGGCAAATCGGTGTTTTCTACACTTTTAGAGTGAAACTTAACTATTAAATTGTTGATGGGATGTGAATGAGTATTCCGCAGTCGGTGACGCCCGACTGCAACGTTCTTACTTGTTATATTTCATTGAGTTTTGTATTTCATTTATATTTTTAAATACATCGAAATTGAAATTTTAGCCATACTACATGGGGATTTTTATACCCTGAACCCATTTTCAATGGGAAATCAGGGTATAATGGTTTTGTTGAAATGTATGTAACGGGCAGAAGAAGGCGTGGCAGACCCCACAAAGTATATATATTCTTGATCAGGGCGATGAGCTGAGTTGATTTGGCCCTGTCCGTCTGTCCGTATGTATGAACGCGTCGATTTCAGAAGATATAAGAGCTAGAGACTTCAAATTTTTTTTTAAAATGTCCGTAATTACAGCGCGCATATCAAGTTTATCATTAAAAATCGATATCTCATCCCGATCTTTTTTTATCGATAAAAAACCTTATCGAAAACCAGTTATAAAATTATATCTTCTACACCTTTATTGCTAGAGTCTCCAAATTTTTAATGTATGCCTTTATGCAATTTATACAATTTCGGTCTTTGTTAAAATTTACCCCCCACCCTTAAATTTACCCCCTCATCGTCACTTTTGTAAAAAGCGTATTTCAATTACTAGAGACTTGTGCTTTGGCAATTACGCCAAAACAATGACGCTATCGCCCCCTCTCTCTTGCACCACCGAATTATACCGCTTGGGAATTCCACGAACCGCCGCGCAGTAAGTCTCTGGTAGTTTTTTTGAGGTCGCTGGGTACGCCGCGCCCACAGCAAACACGTTGACTTCAGTTCTTTCCACTTTCACAGGGGAAAACACAGTTCAAGCTATTGTCTACGATGGATCACGATGACATCGACCGCACTCCGTGAAAACGCAACTCGAACTCCTGTGTGTATGTGTGTGTATGTATGTGTGTGTATGTATGCCTGTGCGTGCGTGCGTGTGTGTGTGTGTGTGTGTGTGTGTGTGTGCGTGTTTCTTGTGTAAGCTAAAAGACGCGAAAAATTATTGAAATAGTATTACTCCAAGGGTTCAGGGGATCTCGTAGTCGAGTAGTCTCGACTAGAGCTTTCTTACTTGTTATTAGTTGGGTTCAGGGTAGTATCTAGTCGAGCACTCTCGACTAGAGTTTTCTTACTTGTTATACCCTGAACCCATTGAAAATGGGAAATCAGGGTATAATGGTTTTGTTAAAAGTATGTAACAGGCAGAAGGAGGCGTGGCAGATCCCACAAAGTATATATATTCTTAATCAGGGCGACGAGATGAGTCGATTTGGCCCTGTCTGCCTGTCTGTCCGTATGTATGAACGTGTCGATTTCGGAAGATATAAGATCACCTTGCGCTTCTGTTTTGTCGTCGGCTCCTATTTCACTAGATCCTCCTTCACCTTGTCCCAAATCTGTTTCTCCTATTGAGGCTTCTATTGAAACTCAAGCCCCCATCCCAAATTTGGTTTCTACTTCTATTGTTGCTCAAACAAAGAGTGACAATAAGTCAGCCACTCCGGGCATCACCTTATCTGTCGTCTCTCCTCGAAAGCAAATATTTTTATCTAGGCTTTCATCTGATACGACATGTGAGGCAGTATCTGCTTTTATTGCAAGCAAGACTTCGGCTAATGTTTTTATATCGAAGTTTAGTTTTGCAACTCCGCGAGAAATTGCTTCATTCAAGATTAGTGTGCCGGTAGAATATTTTAAAACTTTATGTGATCCTAATTTCTGGCCACCTCATGTAGTTGTTCATGAGTTCAAGCCTAAAAATCGTAACAGATCGACTCCTATTTCAGTAAATTTACCTTCGGTGCAATCTTCATCTAACATTGTGCCAAAAAACTAAATAATTTACAATCTTCTTCTCAGCTGTCTCTGATCTATCAAAATGTACGTGGCTTAAATTCTAAACTTAAAAATCTATTCTTGCACAGTTTCAGTGTACAACATGATATTATTGCATTCACTGAAACCTGGCTAAGTAATAATATTCATAATGGTGAAATCCTTTCAGGTAATTTCACTACTTATAGACTCGACCGTTCGGTTCGCAGAGGGGGTGGGGTGTTAATTGCTGTTAAATCTATTATCCTCTCTGAATCGTTTACCTTTTCGTCCCTTCATTATGCGGAGATTATAGGGGTTAAATTAACTCTCCAATCGTGCTCATTGTTTAAATAATAGAGACTTGCTTCTTGTATTGGGTGATTTTAATATTCCAAACACTTCTTGGTCATCAATTTGTAATTCAAATTACTTTATTCCGACAATTGATCACTATCTTTTTGATGAATTGTTTAACCTGTCTATGTTTCAGATGAACTCTATTTTAAACCATCTAAATCGCACTCTAGATCTTGTGTTTGTTAATCATGATTCGCTCATTAATGTCGCAAGATCAACTCCTTTCTGCTTACCAGAGAATATACATCACCCCACTTTAGAGGTATTATTAACTGTTGGTAATCCTCCCACTAATACTCCAATGCCTTCTAAACTTAGTCGCTGTTATCATAAATGCAATTTTGTTTTGCTTAACGAATTAATTAATTCAACTGACTGGTTTATTTTATATGAGTCGGTTGATATTAATTTGGCAGCATCGTTTTTTTATTTATTTATTTATTTATTTATTTCTTAAAGCTATTGACAAAAACGAGAGCAGTATTTTTGCAAATTGATTATTCAACCATTTTAACATGATTTTGTTCAAAATCGATCAACGTCCTCTAATTTACTTGAGTTTACTTCGCTTGTTAATGACAGTTTTTCGAAAAAAATGCAAACTGATGTTATTTATACTGACTTCAGTAAAGCATTTGCCTCAGTACATCATCACATACTAATTCTTAAGCTAGAACGCTTAGGATTTTCACCTAGACTTGTGTCTTGGATATCATCCTATTTAATGGGTAGAACCCAAAGAGTCTTGCTGAGAACAGCTATGTCTAAACTTATCTTTTTTTCGTCTGGTGTACCTCCGGGTAGCCATTTGGGTCAATTGCTTTTTTCCCTTTTTATACCCTGAACCCATTTTCAATGGGAAATCAGGGTATACTGATTTTGTTGAAATGTATGTAACAGGCAGAAGGAGGCGTGGCAGACCCCACAAAGTATATATATTCTTGATCAGGGTGACGAGCTGAGTCGATATAGTATATATATTCATGATCAGGGCGACAAGCTGAGTCGATTTGGCCCTGTCCGTCTGTCTGTCCGTCTGTCCGTCCGTCCGTCTGTCCGTATGTATGAACGCGTCGATTTCAGAAGATATAAGAGCTAGAGACTACAAATTTTTTTTTAAATGTCCGTATTTACAGCGCGGATATCGAGTTTATCATTAAATATGGATAACTTATCCAGACCTTTTTTATCGATAAAAAACCTTATCGAAACCCAGTTATAAAATTATATCTTCTACACCTTTATTGCTAGAGTCTCCAAATTTTAAATGTATGCTTATATGCAATTTATGCAATTTCGGTTTTTGTTAAAATTTACCCCCCACCTCTATGTCCACCCCCTCACCCTCATTTTTGTAAAGAGCGTATTTCAAATACTAGACACTTTTGCTTTGACAAATACATGCATATCCATGTTATAATCATAGTTTGAAAGTTTCATGCATTTTCCGATATGCCAGAAATCATATTATTCAAGAGCTTGAAAGCTGAAATTCGGAATGTAAATCCAAGTCGGAGGAGATCACGAGCTATGGCGGATGTATTTACGCCCATTGGGGGCGTGGCAAATCGGATAAAACTTTATTTTGGACACTATTGATGCTAGAGACCTCAAACTTTGTATATACTTGGGCTGATCACCCAAGGCCAAAAAGCTTCGACCGACATATTTCCGCCTACAGGGGGCGTGGGAAACCGCAAAAGTTTATATCTCATAAAGTATAATAGCTAGAAGCTTCAAATTTAGATTGTTAAGTTCATAGTAACCCTTCTATCGATGGCCCAAATTAATTTTTACGCCTCTTTAGGGGCGTGGCATATCCAAAAATACCCTGTAATTTTCACATTTTTTGAGTGTATGCATTCAAATTGTGCAGTTAGGGTATTATTAGCTCGTTCTAAGAACTCACTAAAAATGAGGTGTCTACGCCCAGTAGGGGCGTGGCAAATCGGGAAAAACTGAATTTTCTACAGTATTAGAGCGCAACTTAGCTACTAAATTGCTGATGGGATGTGAATGAGTATTCCGCAGTCGGTAGCGCCCGATTGCAACGTTCTTACTTGTTTTTGTTAAGTTTGAGACAGTAACATGCGTATACTTCTATCTAATTCTATAATTATAAATATACATCTACGAAAAACAAGCTTGATTGAATAATAGGTATTTCCCTGGCATTAATCATTATCATATGTATTCCTTAAATAAGAAGAATAAATTGACAAGCTTTCTAACCTAAAAAGCTCCTTAATTATTATTCCGTATTGAAACGCCGTATTAGATTGAGATACCACTTTCGGTTAAGGTTATATAAAATACTGCTAATATTATATCACATTCAATTGGCTAAAATAAAAACTCATACTTACTGCTTTCCATTGAGAACGAACATTTTGGATCATCAAATGGAAATATATGCAGACTTCCCTGACACGACAATATCAAGTGTCTTCTGTAATATTTAAAATAAATCAAACATAATTATTTAGTTATTCAATTTATGACAGTAAAAATAATTAAATGGGAAATCAGGGTATATTGGTTTTGTTAAAAGTATTTAACAGGCAGAAGGAGGCGTGGCACATCCCATAAAGAATATTTATTCTTGATCAGGACGACGACCTGAGTCGATTTAGTTCTGTCCGTGTTGAAAACATGTCAATACTGGATGATCTGCGAGTCATCGAAAAAAAAAAAAACATTTTTACAGCCACAACATTTTTGGGCCTCTGGCAGAATGTTCAAACATGAACATACATTATAATAAAAATAGAGACAATACTCGATAGCCTGCGCGTTATGCTACACAAAGTAATAAATATGTCACCCCTTAGTTGCAGCGACCAATGCAGCGACCAATATGTAAATGTAACGTGAGCCTGGGCCCAGCGATCTAAAAATGGGATACTTGAGTAAACATCTGTGCACTTGTTTGTATGAGAAAATGCACCCTTCCAGTCCGTCTGTTCGTATGCTTGAACGTGTTGACCTCAAAAGATATAAAAACTAGAGACTTGAAATTATTTCCTAGGTCCGTGTGTACCACGCGCATATCGAGTTTGCCTTCAAATATCGATAACTTGACCCGTTATTTTGTTATCGATTAAAACATTATCGAAAACCAGTAATCAATTTATATCTGCTACATCTTTAAAGCTAGAGTCGCCAAATTCTAAATATAGATTCATATGTACTTTATAGAATTTAGATTTTTGTCAAAATTTACCCTTACCTCTATATTCACCCCCTCACAAACATATTTAGTTCAAGTACTAGAGACTTGTGCTTTGACAAATACATGCATACTGCAGTCAATACGTATTTATGCGTGTATGCCTTGTCTCTGTGTGTGTGTGTGTGTACATGTGCGAAAAATTATGGAAATATCAGTGGCTCGAAGGGTTCAGGGTATCTCGTAGTCGGGCAGTCTCGACTAGAGCTTTCTTACTTGTTTTTTAGAATATTTAATATCATCAAATATAAGGAATCTTTCGTAAAATTGTCTGTACCCTCTCAAAACCGTTCCCTGTAGGTCGGGATTTAGCATAATTTTATAAGGAGAACTTTTTTATCATCAATGCTGAAAGAGCGAATTTTGCATTAAAATAAAAATTAGCAAAATATATAGGGGTTTCCAATTGACGCGATTGGTCGATTTTGGCGCCCCGTGGCAGCCATTCTGCTTTGGTGACATCTGTCAAATCTTTTGTTTATGCCAAATAATCATGGGAAACTACACGATGAAACAGCACGTTCAAATTACAAAATTTATTATCAAAATTAGTGTTCCTTAACGCAAACGTTTTGGGCAAAAAATCATCTTTAGTGAGGAGGAGCATTTTTGGATTAATGACTGCTTTCATACCCTGAGCCCATTTTCAATGGGAAATCAGGGTATAATGGGTAACAGGCAGAAAGAGGCGTGGCAGACCCCATAAAGTATATATATTCTTGATCAGGACGACGAGCTGAGTCGATATAGCCCTGTCCATCCGTCCGTCCGTATGAGCAAGTCGATCTCAGAAGATACTAAAGCTAGACACCTGAAATTCCTTCCAAGGTTTGTGTATGCCACGCGCATATTGAGCTTTATCGATAACTTGCACCGTTATTTTATTATCGATTAAAACCATTATCGAAAATCAATAAAATATGTATATATACCACGGTTGATTGATAGTAGGCTATGCCACTAACCACAGAACACATAGACCGGACAAGTAGTGTAAAGCGTTTTGCACACTTTTTTTCGAGCATTAGTTCCCAGACCACTTCGTATTTGCTCGGCTCCTCACTTTAAGGGTCGGGCTACGAAAATATGGGAACACAAAATCATTTCGCTTCATGCGCTCGGCCGAGATTGTCGACTGTTGAACAAAAGATCCCTCTGTGCTCAATGTTTCCCTTGCTCTCTCTCTCTCTCTCAATGCTCTCTGCTCTCTCAAATATGTATATGTATTAGAGGCCTGCACGAATACGTCTCAAACGCTAAACGAGACACCCGTGTCTTGGTGGTGCTTGGTTTCACACTGTTTCGTTTTGTTCAAATAGTGTAAGCCAAAGCATCGTGGACGAACGAAACAAAACGAGCATTGCTCACATACCGAACAGTTCGGAATGCAGATGCTTGTACAGAAATGAAGCAACGAACGAAAGAAACGATAAAGCATAATTCAAGTATTGTTTTCGTTTTAGCTATCAGCTAGCTAGACTATTTCAAGCTAGATTTAGCATATTACTATTGAATGCACAAAGACATTTTTATTTAGAAATAATAATAACAACATTTTATTTATATAAACGTAATTTTATAATCTTAGCCATTACATATTTTTTAACAAATATTTAAATATATTTTTTTTTAAATTGAAGTTTAAAACCATAACTTCATTAATCATGGCGCTGTTTTTGGCAATATTGCTTCTCTTTTCGGAAATTAATAACCGGGCCTGAGAGAAAGCCCTTTCAGACGAAGCACTGCAGGCGGGAATGCATAAAATTTTACAGCTTACTTTAAAAAGTAGTGGATAATGTTCTTTATTCAAATTCCATCACTCTAAAACGTTAAACCCATCTGAGTAAAAAACTTTGAGAGACATGTATGTATGAAGTTCAGAGTTAATACATTCAGTTAAATTGTCACTATAAACTGGCATTTCGTCAATATATACTTCTTGCTCCTCTGTCATTTTCAATATTGTTTGGTCAGTCACTTCCTAACCAATAGTTTGCCATTAATTCTTTACACTGTTCAACTATTCGTTCTTTTTCAGCGTTACTCAAGCTAACCAATCTGTTTGTGGGGGGAAATAAAAACAAAGCAATTTTGTGATAGTCCGTAATATAAGGATCCACAACGGTTTGAAGTAGGCTAGTTAAAGAAAATTTTAATTGGCTAGCTAAACCAGTATCGCTTGAGTCAACTTTAGTTTTTCTTTTTAAAAAATGTATGTATGGTATGACTGAATGTAGTGTCGAATAGTCTTCTCCTTCCAATGTTTTTGAAGTCCTTTCAAAATGTTCTAAAATTTTTACAATAGATTTAACATTGTCAATGTTTACATTATCCAAGCCAAAAATTTCATTTTTCTCTTTTAAAATTCTAGTGATTTTTTCCCTGTTTTGTGATAATGAAAAAAAAGTGTAATTCACTGTATTCCACCTAGTCTGACAAAAACTTTTGAGAGATACATTGAGTTGGGAATTTATCCCAGATTTTTTAAAATATTTTACTATCTTGTTACAATTGAGTAACAGGTCAGATAGTTCTAAAATATCTTTAAATGCTTTCTCCACAACATTATTTAATAGGTGATTTATGCAATGAATGTGATTGCCACTTTTAAATGCGTTAATCATGTTGGAGCCTCGGTCAGTGACTGCTATGGCTTTGTCGTCATCCATTGCCAAATTATAATCATTCAAAATTTTTGTGATTTTATTCTTAATGTTTGCGCCTAAAATAATAAACATTATTTCAAAAGAGCTATTGGAATATTAATCAAGCTATTCTACCTGTATTTGATTCATCTCCCATCGACTTCAGTGCTAGCAGGCGGGTGAGCATTGCACCGTCTCTAATATAGTGCACTGTGCACGATATATATGATCTCTTTAGGAACTCGTCCGTCCAGATATCAGATGTGATGCTATAGCCGGATGTTAATAAGCTTTTTGGTTTCTGGATCGACACGTGTTGCAGGGACGTTTGTTTCAGTTAACAAGTTCTTTGCTGCTACACAGCATTTGTGTTTAACTAAATTGGAAGTACAATTAGAGTACTTCAGAATTTTGAAACATTTTTTGCATCCAACAATATTTTTTAATTCTTCTCCATTCTCATCCATTACCATTCCTAGCGTGTTCCAGACTTCACTCCGTCCTCTTTTGTTCTTAAATTTATATATTCCTTCCAGCAATTTGGTCTTGATCGCATCATATTGCTGGATGGTACATATGTGAGTTTGCCAATATTCCATGCTAATTTGAAAGCAATACATATTTATGTACAGTGGTCCATCAGTAAATAAATATCAACAATCATAATTGTAATTAAATCATACTTACATTTTCGGAATTAGTTTCAAAATTTTCTTCAATGTTCATTTTAGCACGCACAAAAAAGCGACCCAAACTTAACAACTCACAGAAAGAGATTAAAGGAAAGCAAAAAAAAAAAAAAACAGTTAACCGAAAGAGATTGAAGGAAAGCAGAAATCAAGGCATTGACAATTTTGTATGTATTTACAGCATACATCGTAATTTCGCACGCATACATACATGCATACATGGCGAAAATTTGTAAATAGTGATGCCAGTTTATGCTATTTACTATAAAATTCGTTATAGCCTATAGCCATAAATCTAGCAATCATAAATCTTTTCAAGTTCATATAGTACTCAATATTGCAGCATATTACTGAGTAGACTATAAAACATTGTGCATTTCAGCAAAAAAGAAAAAATGTTAGTTTCTAAACATATCAATTAGTTTTTATAATCTAGGTTGCTATTCCAGCATTTATTTTCAATTTTTAGCCAATTCTAGCCTGATTTTTGCTCAGCAACGGCGCTCAAAGCGGAGTAAAAGTACCGTACGATTTTTTTTGACGTTACTCGCTTTTCGTTTTGTTTCGTTTCGTTTGTCAAGGTTTTTGTTTTACTCTGCTTAAAGCGAAGGAAGTAAAGTAAAACAGAATACTTGGCGACTTCGAGTACCATTCGTTTCGTTTTGCAGCAATGCTTGGTGTGCTCAAACACTTGCAAGTATCAGTATATTTGGAAGACGACCACAAGCAAGCATACCCATGCAGGCCTCTAATATGTACATATGTATGCATGTGAGCACAAGCAGCAGCTCACGAAAATTGAAATTTCGTCGCAGCAAGAACCCATGTCTTCCCTTCTGAATGAAGAGTATTCCGAACTCTTCAAGCCGTTTGCCATGCGTGCGCATAATGAAAATGTTTTCACGACGAGCATGCACACACACACTTACAGTATGCTGCATGTACAATGAACATTTGTATGCCTGTGTGCGAATCTCTTGCTGTCTGTAGCAATTTTAAATCCCAGCATTTGCATCTGGTCGATCTTGTGAAGTGCTCACATACATATGTATGTATATACATTTGATTGTGTGTGCGCAAGGGATGCAATGCTCACAATTATGGGATACCACTTGCAAGCATGTGTATGCCTGTGTGCCTTTACATGTGCGTGTGTGTATGTGTTTGTTTGTATTAGGGATGCAAAACAATCGATCGATACTATCGACGGTTTTCTAAAACGGCAATACCTCGATATTATTTTCGTCTATCGATAGTCTGACATTCAAAAAAGTGAACGTTAAATTGGCGAACGCCAATTCCGAAGAACGCAAAATGAGCCATACGAGCTAGTGTGAACAAGTTCAGTGGCTCAGTTAGTCACAGACAATGCGAATTCCATGGTCAAAGCCAGTGAAATTCTTGCAAAAAATCATTTACCCTGCTTTGCGCATAGTATCAATTTATTGGTGCAGGATTCTGTTGTCTCTTGAAAATATAAAATCTTTAATACGCACTGTAAAACAAATTGTGACATATTTTAAGAGCAGCTCAATTCAGTATGCTAAACTTAAGAATGCTCAAGAGCGGGAAAACTCATACAGTCTTATTCCCACTGGATGGAATAGCGCTTTACATATGATGCAACAGAATATTATTGGTCAGGGATGCTATCGGTCACGTCCTTTTAAATAGTTCAAAAGCACCATCACCTTTGAATAACGACCAACATGATTGCATCGCAGACTTATGCGACATTTTAATACATTTTGACGAAGTCACAAAAAAAAGCACCAGGAGTAAAGGCAGTATCAGTGTCATTAATCATACCATGTGTTTTTGGCTTGGGATGCACTATGGATGGACTTAAGGCAAAAATGAGGACTTCAATTGGTTCCGAAACTTGCACTTTTATTATTAATCGGATCAAAATAAGACTGTCACATTATGAGATCAGAACCGTTCCACGCTTGGCCACAATGTTGGACCCAAAGTTCAAAAAAGAAGCTTTGGAAATGCTGTCAATGCTCAAGAAGCCTCAATAATTTTAGAAACGGAAGTGAAGAGCATAATAAATGTTGAGGAACAGCTCCACCGAGTCGGAGATAACTTTCAGTAAAGCTGGGGAAATTGGGCACTGGGGGCACACGTCGGTCCCGCCTTAAAACTAAAAATGTGGACGTCTTACTGTTCTTAAATAAAAACAACTGGCTCCTAGATGGATAGCTTTATATTATATTTGTTGGCCTCACTATCGACAATTTTGCATCCCTAGTTTGTATGCATGGGACATGAACATTGGCGTGTGCCTCCCTCAACTTAGAATGGTGTGAACGATTTTGGGTTTTAATTGAAGGGCGCGCTTACATTCAAGTAGCTGATTTTATTTCAATGACCGTGGGTTTGCCTATCAGAATGATTTTTTTTTTTAAGTAGTACCTGATTAATCCCAGTGCGCAAATTGGAATGCGATTTTCGATCCCTAGCATGAGAACATGACATTCCATAGGAGAGGCCCCAGCACTGAGCTTTGGGGTACTTCAGCTGACACTGTATGAGTTTGGGACCCTCACTCGTGTTGTATACCAGGGTTCTTCTGAAGTAGCTGTTTATTATCTCTTTTAGATATTTAGGGATGTGGCAGCGCATCCAGTATCGTATCCCAACTAGCTGTGTTAAAGGCATTCTTTACATCCAGGGTCGCGATGATGCAGTATTGCTTCGTCCCGTGCCTCCATCTGGTGCCTTGGTAGGCGGAAGTTTCCGGGCCTTCCGAGAACCATATTGATTAGATGACAGGCTTCCGGCGCTAGCAATAGCAGGCTCCAGTTTAGAGAAAATCATTTCTCAAACACCTTTCCCATGGTGTCTAAGAGGCAGATCGGTTTGTATGAAGATGGCTCCTCTGGTGGTTTGCCAGCCTTAGGTATCAGCAGTATCAGGTTCTCGATTTTTCAGGTAAACATTCATTGTATAATTTGGCAAACGCACTTGGGTGCAAGGCGAGGGCTAGCTTTAGCGGATGATTTGGGATCCCATCCGGCCCTGTAGTTGAGTTAGATCTAAGACTTCTGAGAGCTACTAATATTTCTTCGTCCGTAACTAAAACAATGTGAGTGCTCGTTGACCCCTGATTAGCAGACACGGACTCAGGGGTATGAATGGAGCTTAATCGTTCTGGAAAGAGCGTTTCCACAATTGATTTAAGCTCCGGAATCACCGTAGGCTGCTCCTACGTAAAATCTTTTAACTACTATCTTATATGCCCTGCCCCAAGGGTGATATTCGGCTTAGTCACACTACTCTAGGAAGCATCCTCTTATGCTTGTCCGAATGGCCTTCTTCGACCAGAGTCGCGAAGATCTTCAGTAGGATACGGCTTCTGGCAATTGTTGGGTGGCGACCCCATTCTAACGCCCATGAATTAAAATCTCCTGCTATAATGGTCTTCCGACCCCTAGCATCCTCGGCAAGCTCGTCAAGCACCGTTGTAAACTCACTGAGCTACATGCTGGAGGCCAGGTAGCAACTGTAGAGCCATATACATGTGCATGTGCGTATGTGCATGTGTGCAGAAGTTGCGTACACAGGCCCACAAATGCTCATGCTCAGCGAGTGACTACAGTTGTTTGTGCTCGTCGTCAAAACATATTTTTTATGCGTCTCACGCTCATACCCTTCCTAGAAATAATTATGAAAACGCTAAACTTTTGTATGAACGTGACAAACTCTTTTAAGATTTCGGTAAGCCATTCATTCAAAAGGAACGAGCTGGGATCGTCGCAAGCAAATTTCATTTTTTGTGCCCTGCTGAGCTGATGATTTGAGAGACCATAGAGAGAGTAAAGAGAGAGTAGGACAAATAACGCATAAAAGAACGGGGCCATTTCGTTTGCGTGCTTGCAGCGCACTGATTTCGTCGGGCTAAGTGGTAATACTTACAAAATATATCAAAAATCTAACTTAATTTATTATTTGAATCACTACGTTGAATTTACATTTTACAGTGATTCTAAATTATTGCAAAAAAACGTGGCACGTCAACTAGAATATAGGTAAAGATAGCTATGAAGCACGCAATTATAAAACTTCATTTAGATACATTCAAATCTTGAGTTTTTAACATAAGAACAGAGTTCAATTGTTTGTGTTTATATAGCTGGGCAATATCATCTTATAATACGATTAAGTCAATTGTGAGATTATTCAAATTGATTTAACACACCTCATTGCGTATGTAATGGTCCCGTTTCGGAATATTCTTAAAGCGAAATGCATTGGTATGATGGGATCCTTAAAATCGCCATGCATAATGAAATATGTGTCGGGCGTCCAGATACTATCATGATGATGCAAAGCATTTAAGAAATCATAATGAGACTTATTGCCATATTGCAGACGCGGATCGTTCCATTGCTGATTCAGCAGAAATTCCACTTCATATTTCTGCAAAAAATTTGCATTTGAGTATTACATAATGTACATATTACCTAACTTCTTACCAAGCTGCTCTCATCTGGTGATGCCAAGCTTAAAAGCAATACGTTAACATTAACCGTCAGTGTACCTAAAACAATATTAAATAATAATAGTTAGTTGCAATAATACTGAAAGTTTGTGAAAAAATTATTTAAGGCTATATGCACAATAACTAATTTAATTATTTTTTGTGTGTAGTATTAACCGAATAAATAAATGTACGATTTTAAATCTTAATCTTAATTACAAGAGAAATAAAATGAAGGGTGCCTAACTATATGGTGCCCATATAAAAAAAAAAAAATTAATTTCGTTTGAATTTTCACCAACCGCGATTATGTGCTCTGCGCTCATTATGAATTGTAGCCATATCGGGTGATTGCAAGCCACAGCAAAAGTCTTCATCTGTAAAATTTAATTAATATGATTTTTTTATGCAAAGATATGATAAAAACGTATTGTATATAATTCCTATTTGATACATTCTCAGTCCTACGCTTCCAGACACATTTTGTCAACAGCACTGCACTTTCTTTACGTCAATATCACCATTTTTGTGCTTTTATTGCGATGTTATTCGACTTTTATGCCCTAGACCCATTGAAAATGACGTGAAAATGTTATGTAACAAGTCAACAGCAGATATTTTTGATCAGGGCGAGGAATCATCGCCCATATGGATGAATGCGTCGATCTCAGAAGATATTTAGCTAGAGAATCGAAATTATTTTTCCTAGGTCCGTGTATATCACATATATATCGAGCTTTTCTCCAAAAATCGATAATTTGTTACCGAATAAAGCCTTGAATTAGTTCTAAAATCTTTACAGCTAGAGCGTCCAAACTTTAATTCATTTTCACGTTCTGCGAGTATCACTTCAACCTCTCAAGAGATAAGACGTGCTGCATCAAACAAGTAAGAAGACTCTAGTCGAGACTGCTCGACTCGGAGATACCCTGAACCCTCTAATCTGATATTCTAATCAGTCTGCACTTCTTTTCGACACACAAATATACATACGCACGTAGTAGAACGCGCTCTGCTAACTGCGCAGTAAGCAGCGACTGCGCTTGGGCTGCGCTGCAGTGTGAGCAACATTATAAGAATTTATTTGTTGAATAATTTAATTTCTCGACGTACAATCTTAATGAAACTTTCAGAGCGTAATCATATGGTAAAAATGTGTGCACATTCTAAAGCACACGTCTCTAGTACTTGAAAAACGCCTTTTACAAAGGTGATGGTGAGGGGGTGAATATAGGGGTGGGGGGTAAACTACAACAAAAATCGAAATTATATAAAATACATATAAGTCTACACTTAAAATTTGGAAGCTCTAGCTCTAAAGGTGTAGGAGATATAATTAAATAACTAGCTTTCGATAAGGTTTTTAATCGATAATAAAATATCGGGAGTAGTTATCGATATATAAAGAAAAACTTGATATGCGCGTGATATACACGGACCTAGGAAAAAAATTTCAAGTCTCTAGCTCTTATATCTTCTGAGATCGACGCGTTCATACATACGGACGGACGGACGGACGGACTGACAGACAGACGGACAGGGCCAAATCGACTCAGCCCTGATCAAGAATATATATACTATTTGGGGTCTGCCACGCCTCCTTCTGCCTGTTACATACTTTTAACAAAACCATTATACGCTGATTTCCCATTTTCAATGGGTTCAGGGTATAAACACAAAAACAACAAGTAAGAAAGCTATAGTCGAGACTGCTCGACTACGAGATCCCCTGAACCCTTGGAGCAATAGCGATTTCAAGAATTTTTCGCGTCTTTCAGCTTACACAAGAAACACACACACACACACACACACACATACATACATAGACACACACGCATACACACACACACACACACGCATACACACACAAACGCATACACACACACACATACACACACACATACACAAACACAAACACACACACATACACAAACACATACACACACAAGCACCCACGCATAAACACGCGTGGGCTGCAGTGTTCGCTTACTATGAGAACTTAATTGTTTAATAACTTTTTTTGTGGACATACGATCTTCATAAAAAAAACTTTCAGATTATGATTAGAACATGGATAGGCATGTGTTTGCCAAAGAAAAAGTCTCTAGTATTTGAAATACGCCTTTTACAAAAGTGATGGTGAGGGGGTGGATATAGAGGTGGGGGGTAAATTTTAACAAAAACCGAAATTGCATAAATTGCGAATATGCATACATTAAAAATTTGGAGACTCTAGCAATAAAGGTGTAGAAGATATAATTTTATAACTGGTTTTCGATAAGGGTTTTATCGATAAAAAATATCGGGATGAGTTATCGATTCTTAATGATAAACTTGATATCCGCGCTGTAATAACGGACATTTAAAAAAAAATTGAAGTCTCTAGCTGTTATATCTTCTGAAATCGACGCGTTCATACATACGGATAGACGGACAGACGGACGGACAGACAGACGGACAGGGCCAAATCAACTCAGCTCGTCGCCCTGATCATGAATATATATACTATATCGACTCAGCTCGTCACCCTGATCAAGAATATATATACTTTGTGGGGTCTGCCACGGCTCCTTCTGCCTGTTACATACATTTCAACAAAACCATTATACCCTGATTTCCCATTGAAAATGGGTTCAGTGTCCGTCTGTCCGTATGAAAGCAATCTATTTCGGCGCTATTGAAGCTCCGATCTATAAAGTGTTGAAATTTTCCCGATCCGCCCACTAGGGGCGTGGCAAATCGGAAAATGCATTTTTCGATATGCCAGAAATGATATTAATTGAAGAGCTAGAAAGCTGAAATTTGGAATATAGATCCGCATCGACCGCCCAAGATCACGAGCTATGGCGGATATATCTCCGCCCATTGGGGGCGTGGCAAATCGGATAAAACTGTATCTCCAAGAGTTTTACAGCTAGAGCGCTGGAATTTTGCACGTCAGCTAATGTTATGATTCTATAGTATAGTATAGTCAAAGTAAAAATTATAAGTCTACGCCTATTAGGGGCGTGGCAAATAGGACCTGAAGATATAGTGATTTTTTAAATTCTGCTATATTTTGGACACTATTGATGCCAGAGACCTCAAATTTTGTATATATACTCGGCTGATCACCCAAGACCAAAAACCTGTGTCGGATATATGTCCGCCCACAGGGGGCGTGGCAAACCGTAAAAGTTTATATCTCCGAAAGTATAATAGCTAGAAGTTTCAAATTTAGATAGTTAAGTTACGAGTAACCTCCTCTATCGATGACCTGAAAATAATTTTTACGCCTTTTTAGGGGCGTGGCATATAGAAAAATACCCTGTAATTTTCACATGTTTTGAGGGTAAGCATTCAAAATTTGCAGTTAAGGTACCGTTATCTCGTTCTAAAAACTGACAAAAAATGAGGTGTCTACGCCCAATAGAGAAAATCGGGAAAAACCGCATTTTCTACAGTATTAGAGCGAAACTTAGCAACTAAATTGCTGATGGGGTGTGAATGAGTATTCCGCAGTCGGTAACGCTCGACTGCAACGTTCTTACTTGTTTATGTATGCTTATATGCAATTTATGCAATTTCGGCTTTTGTTAAAATTTACCCCCCACCCCTATATCTACCACCTCACCCACATGTTTGTAAAAAGCGTATTTCAAATACTACAGACTTGTGCTTTGGCAAATATATGCATATTCATGTTGTAATCATAATCTAAAAGTTTCATGATCGTATGTCCACAAAAAAAGTTATTAGTCTCCAGCCTAGAGCAGATCAGTTTCTCAAACACCTTTCCCATGGTGTCTAAGAGACAGATAAGTCTGTACGAAGATGGCTCATCTGGTGGTTTGCCAGCCTTGGGTAGCAATACCAGATTCTGGGCTTTCCATTTTGCCGGGAACGTCTCTTGGATCAGGCATTCGTTAAATAATTCGGCGAACGTACTTGGGTCCAAGGCGAGGGCTAGCTTTAGCGCACGATTTGGGATCCCGTCCGGCCCTGGAGCTGTGTTGGTTCTAAGACCTCGGAGAACTACTAATATTTCTTCCTCTGTAACTAAAACAATTTCAGTGCTCGTTGAGCCCTGATCAGCAGACTCGGACTCAGGGGCGTGAATGGAGCTTAAACTTTCTGGAAAGAGTGTTTCCACAATCGATTTAAGCTACAGACTGCACCTGTCTACCTGCGTATAGTCTTTTAACTACTATCTTATATGCCCTGCCCCAAGGGTCATATTCGGCTGAGTCGCACAACTGTAAAAAACATTCTCTTTTACGTGCCCGAATGGCCTTCTTCAGCTGTCTTCTAGCTGCCTGGTAAGCTAACTGCGTTTGTGTGTGTATTCGTGTGTGTGTATGTATGCCTGTGTGTGTGTGTGTGCGTGTTTCTTGAGTAAGCTGAAAGACGCGAACAATTATTGAAATAGCTACTGCTCCAAGGGTTCAAGGGATCTCGTAGTCCAGCAGTCTCGACTATAGCTTTCTTACTTGTTGTTTTTGTGTTTATACCCTGAACCCATTGAAAATGGGAAATCAGGGTATAATGGTTTTGTTGAAATGTATGTAACAGGCAGAAGGAGGCGTGGCAGACCCCAAAAAGTATATATATTCTTGATCAGGGCGACGAGCTGAGTCGATTTCGCCCTGTCCGTCTGTCTGTCTGTCCGTCTGTCCGTATGTTTGAACGCGTCGATTTCCGAAGATTTAAGAGCTAGAGACCTGAATTTTTTTTTTAAATGACCGTATATACAGCGCGGACGTCGAGTGTGCTTTTAAAATTCGATAAATCATCCCGTTATGTTTTTATCGAGTAAAAACATTCAAGTTCAAATCAGATGCCACTATAACTAATTGTGAATGATTTTTCTTTTTTTTAAATTTCTCAAATATTCAATATAATATGTAGATCATATGCTGAAAGTTTCATTAAATTCCGTTCAGTCAAAAATTAATAAAAAAATAATCAAATATTTGGCCAATTAACAAACGCACGTGCAGCAGCCACAACAGCATCATATGCGTGTGCACACATACATTCAAACTTCTTCTAGAAACATTCGTTGAGTCACATCAGCTGTTAGTTTCGTTTAGTTTTGGTAGATGGCGCAGCAGCAGTGAATCTATTTGAGTTTTGCCAGCGCCACTAGCAGGAGTGGGGTGGCCAAGTGTGTTAGCTGCATGACGCTCGATCGAGAAGTCGCGGTTCGAACCCCTATCGATGCAACTGATGTTAATTTTTTTTAATTGTTTGAAAATATTTGTATATTTTCATAAATGAGTTTTCTATTTAATTTATATTTTTAAATACACCGAAATTGAAATTTTAACCATACTAAATGTGCGTTTTTTAAAGTTTGGTTATTCTAGCAGATTCTTAGAATCACATCAGCAGTTAG